CATTGTTTATCTTTAAAGTTGATTATAAAAATTAATTAGTTTGTTGACTAAAATATTAATAAGATCAACATTGTTTATCTTTAAAGTTGATTATAAAAATTAATTAGTTTGTTGACTAAAATATTAATTTAACTCCAGATATAAGTCAGCTTAAATGTCTTAGAATAAGTCTAACATCTTCCTATAAGATCAACATTGTTTATCTTTAAAGTTGATTATAAAAATTAATTAGTTTGTTGACTAAAATATTAATAAGATCAACATTGTTTATCTTTAAAGTTGATTATAAAAATTTAATTTGTTCGTTGACTAAAATATTATTAATTGAAAATATATTAGAAAGATTTCAATGTAAAAACTTAATTAGTAATTTTATATCTTGAAAGGTAAGAAAATTCAATTTTTTTTAAAAAAATAATAATTTAATATTTCAAAAAGAGAGATGCTATCATATCCATCTTCAAAAGGTTGCATACGGCAAGCAATTCATAACAATACTATAAAATTTGGTAATATAAATTATAAAATAACATAACTTTTCTTGCCAAGAAAAGTAAAGTTTTCACTTTAGGATGAACATCATAAAGATCCTTCACAAATTTTATCACAAATTAAAATAACGCATTATAAATATTTGTAATTTTTATATCAAAAAATAATAACTTTCTTACGACATGTTTCGTTTTAAGAATCCGTATCATAAATTTTCCATTTGAAGTTAGGGAATGGTTAATATCGAAATGGCTAAAAGCCTCTAAGATTTCGCCTAAAGTTGGTCATTTTGTCTGTCATAATAAATATGACAAGTTATGTTGGTTTATTTTTTCTACGAAGGAAAATATCATAAATGTGAGCGTGCCAACAAAGATTGAAAAATCCTTACAGATTAAATTCAAGCTAATTATCAAGCGATTGTGTTGACGGTTCTTTTGCCTCAACAAAGAGGACTTCAAAATTGCCAAGTGTAGAAAAAAGAAAAATTGAAAGAAGAAAGAGGAAGACGGAGAAAGATGATTGAGTGAGCAATCAAAGTAATCATTACTTACCTCTACTCCTATGCTTCGAAAAGGAAGTGCTGAAAATAAATGCTTCGAAATATAAATCTATGTTAAACTACTCCTAAGATAAGGAAAATGACAAGAAATATTGAAATCATTTGTCTTTGATTTGAATTCTGGATCATTTACAATGTAGCCATGAATGGCTATTTATAGGTAAATATTTGTAGGAAAAAACTTACAGCAATAACTACCCAATAACTACCTAAAACTACCCACTCTTCCATCTTCATTCCCATAATCCCACATATCCCTCAATGTCTTCATAACTTCCTTTAACCTCCCATTCATGCTCCATGTTCTCCACTTTGTTCTCCATCATCTTTCCACATTTTATAACTTCTCATAACCTCCAAATGAGTAGAAGGGTGCCACGTGTCCTGCAATTATATAAATGATAAATAATAATAAAATGCAGATTTATGGTGCCAACATTACCCCCCGCGACCCTTAAAAATGATGTTTACTTGAATTTTTGAAGGGCCGAACCAAGCACATGACTAATCTAAGCAATAAAATGCTTCGAATGATATAATAGCACCAATGAAGTGCTTCAAATGAGTATGAAATTATGACTAGATGTCTCGAATGCTAGCTATTATAGACTAGTAACAAGCTTCGAAGGTGGTATAAAGGACCAAAATCATCTTTCGAAGGTTGAAAGTGCCGACAAAGGACAAATTACATCCTTGAAAATACCCAGCAAAGCTTCGAAGGTTCATAACCACCATTGTTTCTTCGAAGCTGTTAATGCAAGATGGAGTGCTTCGAAGCTTACAAAATTATGGCAAAAGGGCCTTCGAAGCACCTTTTGGCCAATATTATGGTTATTCAAATTTTGTATGTTCTGGTTCATACATAATTAATGAAAATATTAATTTTGTGCTTTGAACCAATTATTAATTCTTCGAAGACACCAAAACTGTTGTTCTTCGAACCAACTTATCATGCCAAAAATAGGCATTATTCGACAACTAATTAATTACCATTTTACATATATTTGAAGAGAGGTACACATTTCGAAAGTTTTCTCGCCCCATGTTACATTTCGAAAGTGTTTATTGATAACAAAACCACCATTCAAAAGTCACATATGTTACTAAAGGATCAAAGTCGTCCTTCGAAAGTGCTCACGACATATCTTCATACCAAATCCAAAGAGTTGGATTACTATGAAATTAGTTTGGCATTTTAATAAGCCATTAATGGCTATAAAATGATATTTCAATGAATAACATGCTTCGAAGTGTCTTGGGACATATTTCGAAGGTAACCACAAAACCAAATGATGATGGTTTTATGGATCAACCATATTTTTGGCCCAATATATTTCAATAACGAAATATTATTTGCTAGCCATTCCATCAAAGTCAACGTTTGATGTGATCTACAAATCCAAAATAGATTTTGAACAACAAAAGTCATGTTATAGCGTGACCATGAAAATTCATACTTTTTGACACTTTGAAAAATTTCAAAAATTTCAAAAATTTTGAATTCATGAACAGTGGCTTGTTCATTATTCTTGACCATGTTTGGTTTAAAAACATGACTTTCGCCGAATTGATTTTTATAATTCTTTGGCAAAGTGTGTTGTTTTTCCATGTTGGCCATTAATGGCTTATGAAAATCCCCCATCAAAATGTTATTTTCATGACTTGACTCTCTAAAAATTAGTTTTTGGACCCCCGAGCCATATATGAAACATCATTCTTAGCCAAATTTGGCTCAAAAACATGCTCTTTCGTTATGTTAATTTCATAATTTGGCTCTTTAAAAACAGACTCTTGAACCGCCCGAGCCATCGATGAAATCCCCCCCCCCCGAGCCATTGATGAAATCAACTCTTTGTTTTTGCTATTTTCAACCATGGAAAAATTCTGAAAAAATTCACCAATTCCGACCATTAAAGCCTCAGTTAAAGACTTTGTAGTGAGAGTTGACAACTCATCATTTCATTGGCAAATTTCCATATCAAGTTCATGAATTTTTCCAATTAAATCATGTCTTTATTCTTCCACCAAATAATATTGTAATGGAAGGAAGTTTGTTTCACAAATAAAATGGATCTCTTCCTGAAGATCCAAAATTTTTTGTTTGCGCCAATAGATTTCATCTAGGCTATTTGAAATGGACGAATCCAATTTATTTTTTATTTCTTACACTTGACGTCCCGCCGGGGGTGCCAAAAATTGTTGGTTTATTTTTTCTACGAAGGAAAATATCATAAATGTGAGCGTGCCAACAAGGATTGAAAAATCCTTACAGATTAAATTCAAGCTAATTATCAAGCGATTGCGTTGACGGTTCTTTTGCCTCAACAAAGAGGACTTCAAAATTGCCAAGTGTAGAAAAAAGAAAAATTAAAAGAAGAAAGAGGAAGACGGAGAAAGACGATTGAGTGAACAATCAAAGTAATCATTACTTATCTCTACTCCTATGCTTCGAAAAGGAAGTCCTGAAAATAAATGCTTCGAAGTATAAATCTATGTTAAACTACTCCTAAGATAAGAAACATGACAAGAAATATTGAAATCAATTGTCTTTGATTTGAATTTTGGATCATTTATAATGTAGCCATGAATGGCTATTTATAGGTAAATATTTGTAGGAAAAAACTTACAGTAATAACTACCCAATAACTATCTAAAACTACTCGTAACCTCCAAATGAGTAGGAGGATGCCACGTGTCCTGCAATTATATAAATGATAAATAATAATAAAATGCAGATTTATGGTGCCAACAAGTTAATAGAAGACAGTAAGAGCCTAGTTTGGTCTGGCTTTTCACACCAAAACCAAAACTAGGAATCAGTCAATATAAAGGATGACTACAATCATCCTCGGATTTTACAACTACTCGAAGTGTAATGAAATAATAATCTATGAATCAATAAGAAAGAAAATTGATTAACCAGGAGGTGTAACGTCTTGAGGTATAAACATTGAGATTTTGTGTTTCACTTTTTTTGGAGTAAGTTATCTGGGTGATATCATATATGATTAGTATGATGAATCTTCTAAGTCTGGACAATCCGTACCTAGTGTCAGGAGTGTGGATTCAAATCCCCATCTATGTGTGAGTCTGTGACTTACGGCTACATTGTTAAGTAGCTTTACAGTGTAGTACCACCTAAAGGTGACCTTTGGGGCCTTAGCTCCTTAGGATGTATGTGACAACCCTCACCTCAGTGGTTAGGCCTTTTTCAAGAGAGAAAATTTGTGAAAAATTCAATTTAAAAATGGTATAAGACATTATATCTTGACTTACGGCTACATTGTTAAGTAGCTTTACAGTGTAGTACCACCTAAAGGTGACCTTTGGGGCTTGGGGTCGTGACAATGTAACCCTAGAGGTCACCCTCAGTGGTTAGGCCATTTTCAAGAGAGAAAATTTGTGAAAAAATCAATTTAAAAATGGTATAAGACATTATATCTAAGATAAAATCTTATTTGGTGATAAAGACGTGTCGGAAAAGTTGACGGCAGCAATAACTGGCTTGTAACGGCTACGAGTGGTGGTGATGAGATAAATGTGTGGTATTTCAACAGATAGGATGTTGAATGAGTGACATGCGTCACATTTCAACAGATAAGTAGTTTAGTAAATTTCAACAAATAAGAAAGTATATATGCTTGGTGAATTTCTACAAATAGACAAATTGGATGATTTCAAGAGATATACAGATAGGTTGATTTCATCAAATAGTTGTCGTTTTAGACAAATTATATCATTTCAGCCCAAAGAAATTAAACCTTGAGCTTAATGGCCAAAAGATTTAAAAGTAGACTTACGCCTAAGTGCCCCCAACAAGAACATTGAAAAATGAACGACAAATGTAGAAGGGCCCATAACAATAATGAAATGAACGTTGGTTGATCAAAACAATGGCTCATTTTGTCACAGCAATATCTGTAGATATACTAAAGCACACAGCGGGTGCATTTAAATGCTTATCTCTTTATTGCAACAATCAAATAGTCTATTACAGATTTTCTCTTCGAATTACTGAAAATAAAAGATTCTGGAGCAATACAAAGGGTGATTGCACATCTCCATAAATCTTATAACAAACTACTAAGTGAGAATATATTATTGAACCCAAAAGTCAGGGTTCATGGTTTCAATGTCTTTTTTTTAGGACAATTTTATAAATAGAGGAAAAATGCACGGAACAGACACAAAGGATTTGAACTATATATTAATATAGGTCACCAATTGATTTAGTTAAGCGGGAGAGCTCCTAGTCGGAAACCAGAATCCACACTATCATCCAATATCTTCTTCATATCATATTTATACTGAAAACCCATTTCCATCAGCTTCACAGAATCACAGCTGCTTCCTCTCTTCGGTCCTCCCATGAGCCTAAAAATGAACTCATATTGTTAGTCTCTGATCAATTTGAATTTACAACAATGCTAGGTAGGTGTTGTTGGAATTTGTAGAAAGAAAAAAACACCATCCAATGAAGTTCGACAGAGTCACTTACTCTGGTGTTATCTTTAGTTGGGGATAGTTTTCTTGGTAGTAATTTGATATCTCTTGTATAGTTGGATCCACGGCAGAGCATAAGAATCTACCTCTCAGCGACTTTTTTTCCATACAGAATATGTGCGCTTCACAAACATCATCAATGTGTAGTAGCGGAACTGAACCCAAAAGTTCTTGGAGAAATCTTAAGCCGGCATAGCATGAGAGATTGCCAGTGAGCTGTGATATAATTACAGCTATAGTAGAAGTAGCAGGAAAGTAGGAAAGAAGAGTGTCTCCTCCCACAAGTGCACAAGCCAGACTCACCACTTCCAATTTACTGTTTTCAATTTCATTATAGCTCAACACTTCTTTCTCTGCTAATGTCTTCGATTTAATATATGCCTACCAAGAAAAAATAAAATAAAAATTAACTTTGAATTTGTACAAAAATCACTCAAAATATGTTTTTTGGATTGATTTGGAGCATTATCAACCAAGCATACCAGAAAAAAATCATTGCTGAAAGTATAAGAGAGGTTTAGAGAAGTCCAAGAGGATTCGTTGAAGGAGGGTTTATAGCCAGACCCATCTTCTTTCAATGGCGATGATGACACTACACTAGCTGTGTAGATGAGCCGCTTAACAGTTTGTGATCTAACGCAAGAATTAGCTATGATCCTCGCGCTGGCAATGGCTGCTTCAGATGTATCCTTGTACTGTTCAATTATAATTAATTTTCAACATCATTGAAATTTATACATATTAGAGACAACAAGAGAAAATCATGAATTAGAACCTGAGAGCTCTGGGAATCGTGCTGCATTGGGGTAGCCACATGAAAAACATATTGGCAGCCTCTAATTGCTGGTTCAAATTCAGTGGGATTGTATATATCTGCTTGGAATAGTACTAATCTGGTGTCTGCATTAGGAAGGGACCTAAGAAGCTCTACTTTGGGTTTTTCATCTGCAACATGAAACCATCAAAATAAAAATTTAAGGTTTACTACACCTACACAAACACCAATCTGAGAGAGAGAGAGAGAGAGACCTAAGTTCCTCAGTGTGGCATGGACAGTATAGCCCTTCTGTAATAGCTTCTTAACAAGGAAAGAACCAATATACCCTGAGCCTCCTGTAACACAAACCTTGGTGTAGTTGCTAACACCCTCTTGCTCCATTGATTAAAAATTTTGATTCTTGGAAGTTCTGAGTGGGTGAGTCTTTGCAATTTGAGTGGAGTGTCTTCCTCCTCCCCTGCATCTTTATTATCCATTATTTATTTATTTATTTATTTTGGACAAATTATGTCAATAGTATCTCTATTTTGATTTTTGTATCATTTTGATCCTTGCAATTTCATTTGACTCAATTTTGGCTTTGAATTTTTGAATTTGTCTTAATTTAATCTAATTGTTATAATTTTTTAATAAAAAATACCCTCATAAATGGCAAGTGTCATATTTTTAGGAAAAAATTATAAATTTACTCAATTTTGTGAAATAATCTCAACCAATTAATTAATAATTTTTTGTCAAAGACACTGTAGGAGAGGGTTCAAGAAAGGAGTTAGAAAATTCGAAGATCTTCGAAGATCCTTGAAGAACAATTTCGAATTCTCTAGAATATGATGAGAGGCTTAGATTCTTCAATAATCTCAACTTAGGAACACGACAACAAAGGAGATGATGGAGATAAGAGAATAATCTCAACCAATTAATTAGTAATTTTTTGCCAAAGACACTAACAACTTATCAATTATGCCAAATTGATATAAAATCTAAAATTAACAATTAAAATTGAACCAATTAAAAATATAGAGACTAAAATAATATAAGAAGCAAAATGTTAAAACAATCTGTATGTACAACTGACTTGGATTCTTGTCCATACAACTGACTTGGATTCTTGTCCATACAAATGTTAATTTTTAGTTGTGGACAGGCATTTCCTTTCTTTCTTTTTCTTCTTTCTCATACGAATTCTTGTCCATACAACTGACTTGGATTCTTGTCCATACAACTGACTTGGATTCTTGTCCATACAAATGTGACAATTATCCATCAACTAAATCCAAGTTCAACTCGCTTAATCTTTTGTGCACGGCTCTTGTATGCTCTTCTCATACGACACAATATTTTTGGTTTTTGCAACTGATGGACCTCTATTAATTTTTAAAGAGTAATATTATATAAACAAAAAATATATTCACAATTTTTTATATATAACGATGTAGTTTATTGTGGATCATTTACTTCAAAATAGAATATCGTTAAAAATGAATTTATTACAATAATGACTTTACCACATCAATCTTATAAAATATTTTGTATAAATTTTTTCTATGAATAGAATTTTCATTTTTGAAATGTTTGACACTAGAAACAATGGAAGTGCTTAAAAAGAACAAAGAACTTGAATAACATTAATTTTGGTCGGACATACAATTGTATTTTTTTTGTTTAGAACACTTAAAAAAGTCGTATCTTTCGCTAAATTATTTTGTCTTTAGTGATTTGTTTTTTTAATATTATGTCATTTTTTCACTTCTTCAGTTCGTCATGTGCAAACAAATCTAAAAATTAAAAAAATTTGAAATATTCTAAAAAAAATTTGAAAAAGCCAAAATAAGTTAAAAAACTATCTAGACTTTTTAAATTTTTTTTAAAAATCTTAAAATTTTTCTATTCACCTCGTCGAGCTGAATCTAGAAGCCTAAATCATTTTGATTTTTTTTTTTTGGTAAAAAATTCACTAAAAATGAACATTAAAAAAAAAAAACCAAATAAACAAACCCAAAATTAGGGGTGAGCATGGTCCGGATTGGACCGGATTGGGGTAAAACCAGGACCAATCCGTTATTTACGGTTCTTGAAAAATTGGAACCAATCCAATCCGTTTAAATCGTGAAACCAATCCAAACCAATCCATTTAAATACAGATTGGATTGGTTTAGGACCACGGATTCACATAATTAAATAACAAAAAAATATATATAACACTTTAATTTCATAAAAATATAAACATAACGCTATATTAGTTCCACAATAGCAACATATATTTCTATAATAGTGGCATACTGTTTTAGAATTTAAACAATCATAAGAAAACTAGTTTCACCATAAATATTTAGACCATTACAAATTAAAATTAAAAACTAACAAACAAAAGTAATAAAAGAAGATGTTATACGGTTTTAGGTTTGAGTTTAGATTTTATATAGAATAAGAGAAGATACTATGTGGGAGGATATATCTAATAAAAATATATACTATTTGTATACGTCCGAATCGGTTCCAATCCGGAACCGTGGGGTTCAATCCGGAACCAATCCGCGTACTACGGATTTTTAAATCTTCAATCCGGAACTGAACCGCGGGTTCAAAAAACCAATCCAAACCTATCGGATTGGACTGGACTGGATCGGATTACGGATTTCACGGATTCCTTGCTTAGCCCTACCCAAAATGCTCAATGTCCATAACAAATGTTAGGGTAAATTACACTTCGCACCCCTGCACTTTACACCAAATCTCACTTTGGCCCTCATGAAATCATGACAATCAACCTTTTACACTTTTGATCAAATCCTACTTTGGTTCCTACACATGAAATCGTGATAGTCAACCCCCTGCACTTTTACTCAAATCTCACTTTGGTCCCTACACAAGTGTTAATATCCCTATTCTATTATTTTATTTTTAAATCTTTAACAGAATTCAATTATGTGACAAAAATGTGACTACGAAATGTAGGTAAGAGGGGAAAATCATTCATGTTTCCTGTAAACACACTTTGTCCTACGTGATAAGCACATGAGAATTATGTACTACAATATATATATTTGTATGGTAAAAATTAGGATGAAAAGATAAGAAAGTAGAGCTTTTGAAATAAAATAAAAAAATGCGACAAAAATATCAAAGAGAAAGAAAGATGAATAGACAGAAGACTGTGTTACCGTGAAAAATAAAGTTTCGTGATTCCAATTTATGCAAAATCCTAGTTCATCTTCTTAATTGTTCACAATTTACGTTTTGTTTAGTCTAATACAATCATATTTTGATATAAATTTTGGGATAAAGTGTGTATTGGTGAAAAATATAGATAATTTTTCTTTCTTACTCTCATGTGATAGTCACGTTCTTATCACATGAGTAGATTCTGTTAATGATTTGAACAACTGAGTAACACAAAGGGGACATTGATACTTGTATAGAGATCAATATGAGATTTTACCAAAAGTACAAGGGGTTAATAGTCACAATTTCATGTGTAAGGACCAAAGTAAAATTTGACCAGAAGTCTACAATATTAACTGTTATGATTTCATGTGTAAGATTAAAGTGAGATTTGATATAAAGTATAGGGCTGTAAAGTGTAAATTATCCTAACTTTTATTTGTGTTTTGGGTCATTTCCGCTAAACTCGAATGGACAAGATGAAACAAATATAGCATTAATCATTGGAGCACATCATTTGTTGGTTCGTTGGATTGGAAAGTGCATTATATCATATATGTCTTGTCTTGAAAAGATAACAAAAGAAGTTAGTTCGTATGTCAAGAATATATAAATACTTTTAATTAATAATGTTATTAGAACGCTATGGGTGCTGATTTCCGACCACATTGTCAAACCGGAACTCAGCAGGAGAGCACAGACAGAATAAATTACGTTCGAACAACCTGTCACAGAAAAGATAAGATTTTGGCGGTGGTTCGTCCACCCGGGGGCACTCCGACGATCAAGTCAGTACTCAGTTATCTTTCAAAGATAACAAATAGTGCTTAACTCACTAGCCAGAATACAAAAAATGTACCTTAGACCCACTAAGAGCTTTATCTTTATCGATACTAAGGTCCTCTCCAATTCTAGGACTCTTGTCCCTTATTCGCTCATCTCGGATTCCGATGTCTCTGTAGATAACCTTGGCCTAGTCGAGATCACCTCGGTGTCATGACCAAGACACATGGCACCTTGGCTGGCACTTCGGCGTCACCTTGGCCACGTGTTGTCATTTACTAAATATGTCCCCACAACTACCCCCTAGCTTCTATTACCTCGGCATCTTGAGGTGATGGAACCTACCTCGCTTGTCCACATAGCACGTCGGCTAACACTTTACTCCATTCTTCATGGCTGATATCGTCACACGCTTGTTTCTCATGACCAAGACTCTGCAGTCTACTTTATCAATGACCAAGAACCAAGAACCAAGTTCTTCAACCGAGATCGCTCCTATAGACGAGGCTTTTGCTTCATCAAATTAAGAACTCCAAGAGTTCTATCTGCACATGAGCTATCACACACTGTTTACTCAATCATTTTCTTCACGCATCGCTCTCTCATTGGTTTGTACCTGACACGTGCTATCAGGTCGCGTTGCGTCTGCGTACACTGCCTAACAGATACGTCATCCAAGGTAGGTCATTATGGTTTGCCACCCTTTCGAATTTTTAACAAAAACAACCTCTCTCTCTCTGTCGTTTCACTTTGCATTCCTTCGTTTTTGCCCAAGCTTTCTCTCTCTAAAGCTTCTCTCCAAAAACTACCATTGTTCAAGTCTTCAAGCTCTGCAATTTCCTTTGATCACGTCCTTCGTGATCACCTCGGCATCTTGAGGTGATGGAACCTACCTCGCTTGTCCACATAGCATGTCGGCTAACACTTTACTCCATTCTTCATGGCTGATATCGTCACACGCTTGTTTCTCATGACCAAGACTCTGCAGTCTACTTTATCAATGACCAAGAACCAAGAACCAAGTTCTTCAACCGAGATCGCTCCTATAGACGAGGCTTTTTCTTCATCAAATTAAGAACTCCAAGAGTTCTATCTGCGCATGAGCTATCACACATTGTTTACTCAATCATTTTCTTCACGCATCGCTCTCTCATTGGTTTATACCTGACACGCGCTATCAGGTCGCGTTGCGTCTGCGTACACTGCCTAACAGATACGTCATCCAAGGCAGGTCATTATGGTTTCCCACCCTTTCGAATTTTTAACAAAAACAACCTCTCTCTCTCTCTGTCGTTTCACTTTGCATTCCTTCGTTTTTGCCCAAGCTTTCTCTCTCTAAAGCTTCTCTCCAAAAACTACCATTGTTCAAGTCTTCAAGCTCTGCAATTTGCTTTGATCACGTCCTTTGGCGAAGCATTCACCGTTCTTCTCCACTCATTGCCACCGTCTGACTCTGACGAAACTCAAACCGATGTCCTCGATCTCGGCCCAAACTGGTGAGTTCTTTATTTCTTTTGATTTTG